CATCACCAACAGTTAAATTACCATTGAAATGGATGGCACTAGAGAGTATTCATGATGGACTGTTCTCTGAAAAATCTGATGTGGTCAGTATAATTGCAAATGATATGCCCTATCAATATAGATTGTTATATTCTATTTTTACAGTGGTCTTATGGTGTATTGTGTTGGGAAGTGTTCAGTCTTAGTAGAGTACCTTATCCTGGTCTAGATCCAGTAGGAGTAGTGGAGCTACTGGATACTGGAGGAAGACTGCACACTCCAAATAATGAAGCATGTTCAAAAGAAATGTATGAAATCATTAATTATTATAAAGTTTAATGTAATTTGAACTATGTTGCAATTAAAATTAATGTTAATGCTTTTCCTTACATAGTTACTCATTGATGATGTCTTGTTGGTCTGAGTCTCCTGATGATAGGCCAGTGTTCAGTGATTTAGTATCATCAATCAATGCACTCATTGAGCCATTGGCTGGCTATCTGGACTTCACTGACATTAATTCTTGTGTGGAAAATGATATCAAAGTTTAATATGTGTGTGTTACTATTTTTAAGTGTGCTTATGTCTGTGTACCATTGTTTGTGTGTGTATTAGTGTGATACCATTGGATATGTGTGTTTTATCATTTTTTATATTATTATATAGTTTTTAATGCAAAAAGCATTTTAAATTAATTCATAGTTTGGGCCACACTTCCAGATTATCTATAAAAAAGCTTCCTCAGGTGATAAAATATATCAGAAGAGTTTCTGAGTTGGAGCTACACATTGCAATTGCTAAAATATTAAAGAATTTTAATGCATCTTATACAACTGGACCTGATACTAAAATGGACTTTGTCATGACGTTAGTTATAGTCCCTGAGAAGCAGTTGGATTTGGTATTTTCAGATATTTAATACTTGATATTCTAATGTGTACTGCATATTTTACTTCAGTGCTAATATATTGTATGTCACACACATTGAATTATTGTTATGTTATTATATTTATAGTCAATTTATTACCAAAAGAATATTGTCTAACCATAGATATTAGAACCGGTTCTAATATCTATGGTCTAACATGCTGCATAATGTTGGCTGTATACAATATTGAGCATATACGTTATAAGCTATGCCTATAGCTTTGTCTTTACACATTTTAGTGTTTTTTTTAATTTTTCACTTCTGTATCCCCAAAAATTTATTTTTGTTAATACTAACACCAAATTTAGCAAATAATTTTGCTGTTACTTATTGTTGATAAATCGTTAATCTATTTCTAAAACATTTTAGCAACCTTTAAATTCTTCAGGCATTATTAATGGTTTATATTTATATCTTCACTGAGATTTTATATAGATTTAGACACAAATCGTGATTACCAACCAAATGCCTATCTTTTGTTACAGTATGATGATAGTTGTTGTCATCATTAATGCTGTCAATAGTCATATGACAGCTGATACAAAAATTCTCATCATTCAGAGTCAAAATAGTGCCACTAAATATATGTGTATTTGCTATTTGTCTGGTACAGCTGAAGATTCATTGATTTCTCCATTGAGTGGATTTGGTGAAATTCTCAGATAATAATTGTGCTAAATAACCTGGTGGATATAGTTAATTAGCATGTATCTGGGTGTGGCATGTATCCTAGCATGTAGGTGTGTATCTAAGCTTACAGTCGGGCAGCCAAGCCTGATTTCTTATTTCTGACCGGAAGTGACGTTTTTCTCAAAATGGCTGACTTTTAGTGTGGTAGTGCCACTTGCCTATTTTGATTGTTTATGTCAAAGCTAAGAAGTCTACAGTTACTTTGTTGTTCTCTGAACTTTTAGCATTGGATAAAGATGTAGCTAACTGATCTTCTACATTTATAATCAAGAACTGTTCGTGTTTCAGGTGCTTGTTTCCACTGTAAGGATTTAAAATGGCTGACACAAAAATCATATTAAATTCTATAACTTGTAAAATAGAGTGAATGCAATCACACTTACAAGGTAGCTTATTAGTATTATATATGCCTGTTATTCTGCAAAAATTTCATTGCTGTAGGAGAAAAGGGAAAATTTTTCTAAGGTATTAAAGGTCCCAGCAAGTAGCCTAGCTATGTGTTTGTGTGTGTTTAGCATTGTTGTATCCATGAGTATAGCTTATAATTCTTGATGTATATGTAAATTGTAGCTATTGCAGTGGTTTTCAACTTTCTATATATCTGTATTTG